CAAAGCTACCAGAACAGTTATTGCATGTAGGCCCAGTTTGAGTTTTGTGCAGTTTTAAGCCAGGAGAAATGTTTCATGAACTAATACATTTTTCTCTTCTACTTTAGAATCATCATTACTCTCACTATTACTTAGTACAGTTAGGCTTGGCAATATGCCATGAGCAGACTTATTAAAACACCTAAAGCATCTGCCATACTGTCAAGCATGTGGCATATATCCCACATGAAGTGATATGAAACTTTTAAGTCATTTACCTCGGCTGATGCAAATTATTGAAATCACAGCACAAAAGAAGAGAAAATATTTCACATTTCCCATTTTTATTCCATCACCATAAAGCTGACAGAAAATCACTGCATGGGTGAATAAATAGGAGGCCACGTTTCTTATACCATGACAATGATTTCCTAACAAATTATTATGAGATGAGTTTTTCATGCGTACTGCCATGAGTAATGACTGGATTCAGCCATAATATTGCTTTCTTCATACTTAATTTGGAACGAATACAGTATTATCACTAGACCCGGTATCAACTCTGAAAGACAAATCCCTGTGCTGGAAGCCATCCAGTGAGATTTATATGTGTGGGAAAGGACCGCTAATGTCCTTCCTTTCACTTAGCAAGTCTTTTGTTTGCTTTGGCGCAAGCTGACATAATACTGAGTCTGGGTCTCAGCTGCAGAAGAGGGGCTGGGATCAGACATGGGTAATGCAGGACGGATGAGAAAGAGAAGGACGTGGCAGAGCATATGTATAATAAAATAGTAAAAACATGAGGCAACTTTTACACTTAGCAACTTTTTCCCCAATTTAGTAGTCAACTAGGAACACCGGACTGTTTATCCATTAATTAGACTGCTTACTAACACTTATGTGTCGGTTTCCTTGCAGGAAAATAATCTTTGTAGACTTATACTTTACAGCTTTGGTCAACAATGAATGTAATATACTACTGTTTTTTTTTATCAGTTGGTTAGATTGTTTACTTGCTCATTTATGTGCACATTTCCTTGCATCATTTGTTTAGCAAGGGAAAAAGTTGTTACTGGAAGGGTCTGATCAACTATGAATCTAGTATACAATTGTTTTATCTATTGTTTAGACTGCTTGCTAACATTTTTATTCTGCAGCTTTGTTCATTTACCAAGGGAAAACGTCATTAGAAAGTAAGATTGAACAGCTTTGGTCATCTATAAATGTAATATACCATTGTTTTATCCATGGGTGAGATTGCTTACTTACTCTTTTATGTCCCCATTTTCTTGCATTATTCATGTAGCAAGAGGAAGTTTCATTATAGACTAATACTGGACAACTTTGGTAAACTATGTACGGTTTATACCACTGTTTTATCTGTTGGCTAGATTTCTTACTTACACTTATGTTCTTATTTCCGTGCATTAGTCATTTAGCAAAGTAAAGTGCCATTATAGACTATTGTGGTCCATCTTTGGTCAACTTTGAATCTGGTATACCATTACTTTATCAGTTAGACTGCTTACCTACACCCTTATGTGCCTCCTTTATTGCATTATTTATTTAGCAAGGGATAGAATGCTAAACTAATACTGGGCAGTTCTGGTCAACTGTGAATGTAATATACCACTGTGCTATTCATTGTTTAGACAGATTACTTACACTTTTGTGTGTCTACGTCCTTGCATTATTCATTATTCCAGGCAGCTTTGGTCAACTATAAACCTGGCATAGCCTTATTTTATCTGTTGGTTATTTTGATCACTTACATTATTACATGTCTCTTTCCTTGTGTTATCATTTCAAGGGAAATGACATTATGGATTATTACCGGGCAGTTCTTGGCTTTGAAACCCAAATCGACAGCTGGTGAGCCAAATCCCTGACTATTTATTCTTGGTCCTTTTTTTTCATTTGACTCCCCTCATCTTGCATCGTTTGGAAAACTCAGCTTGAACACTTGGCCTCCCTTTCCTCCCTTCCCTAACCAAACCATCTCCTTCCCTCCTTCCCTCACCCCATACAGCTGGCATGAGGTGAGAGCCTGGCCCTCACTTTGAACTTCCGCCCTTCAGCAGGCCTGCTTTATCTCCACATGAAAACCAACTATGCTGCACAAAGCGATGAAAGACTCGGGGGGAGTGAAGTGGGGGGAAAGAAAGATGTACACAGAGGGTGGGAGAGACAAAAAAAGAGGAAGAACAATGGAGATACAGAAAGAGAGCGTTCCTGCCTTACGACGCGGCTAGTGTGCCAGTTACGGTGTTCATGCATCTGTAAAACGGATCCTTTGTTGACAAACTGAAACTCATAAACAAAACAATTCTGGGCAGCAAGGTGAAAGTTATCAAACATCCTCAACGACCCATGCCTGAAACACGAAGTCACTCTACTGCAGGAGAGGGGTCCGGGAAGAAGAGCTCCGTCAGATTTACTGTTTATGAGACGCTTTAAAAGCCCCTTTCCTCCTCTTCTCCTCCCTGGTCTTGCGTGAAAGCTCATGCAGTAGAGGCAGTCCCAGTAGCAGCAGCATATGGTGTTGATGTAAGAGATCTGCCAGGTGTGGCTGAGTGTGAGGTTGGCTGCTACTCGCAGAAGCATTAGAGTAGATCCCAGCACTTGGCTATCTGAACGACTGCATTATGTTCCACTGGAGAAGCAGCATAAGAGTGAGCTCCTGACTCCTTATATAGACAGTCTGCTGACCTATCATTTAAGGGTTTATCTTAGAGGTGGGTGAAAGATTTTGTTGTCAGTAAGGATTCATGATGATATCAGAATCATATAGGATGATAATTTCACTAAAATAAATTATTTGCATCAGACAGATTTGGCCAGTATTTCAAACTGATATAAGTGCCTTACAGTACTTTTTAAAAGTCAGACATGCCCTTCATATATTTAACTTCCAGTCAAGATGACTTAAGAACAAGTCAATCATTTATCTGTGTCAGGGAAAAAAGCAAAAAACATGCTGCAGCAACCCGCTACTGGCTGGTGCTGCCTCTGATAAGCCTGAGAGGTGTGGCCATGCACATAGGCTCATGGTAGGCACATGCCCTCTGAAAAAGTACTGTTTATTGTTGTTTAAGTTGTCGTTGCTTTAGTTTAATTTGTGTGTGTGTTATTTTGGTTATTTGTGTCTGGGTGCAGGTTTAGTTTTAGTGTGTTTTGTGTTGGAAGTTGGTTTACAGTGAGAGTGAAGCCGGTAGCTAGTGGTGACATGGGGGAGTCATGGGTTTGTGTTTCTGTATGTGCCTTTCTGCCCTGGTGTTTAATAAAGAGCACTTCTTGAGGTGGAATCATGACCTCACCTGTGTCTTCCTCAACGCCTAGGCCACAATACATTTAACGTAAAACTATGCAAAAGCCTTAACAAGAAAATATAATATTTAGTTAGTAGTAGTATTTAGTGCATTGACACTACTATTATAGCTTTCATTGTTTTACATCTCAGTAACAGCTTCTTGACGGTACACATTGTGTTGTTTTGTCTTCTCACGGTAGAAGGACGGACAGAAACACTTATGAATTTTTTCTGATCTGAAGCAAGATCTGAAGCAAGATGAAGCAAGATGAAGCAAGCATTCATCAAAGATGAATGCTTTATGTACTGTTTATTTATTTATTATTATTTTTTTAATTTATATCCGATTTTTCTCCCTAATTTAGTCGTCTCCAATTCCACCCGCTAGTCACACGATGCTATCAACGCTAGGAGGGTGAAGGCTAACACAGGCTTCCTCCGAGACCTGTGAAGCCAACCACCGCTTCTTTTCGAACTGCCGCTCACGCAACGTCACTGGACCGCCGAACGCGCTCGGAGGAAAGCGCCAACCGCCAGATCTGCTAACAGACGCCTGCGCGGACTAGCATCGCGCTGAGTGATGGGGGGAGAGGGAGGGGCCATCCTACCCACCCAGGAAGAGCGAGGCCAATTGTGCTCTCTCGGACTCCCGGCTACGGATGGCTGTAGCATCACCAGGGATCGAACTCGCGATCTCCTGATGATAGGGCCAACGCTTAGACGGTTGCGCCACTCGGGAGCCCCCATGTATTGTTTATTTGATGGTGTTAGTTTTAGTAGTAGTATTGTCTCATGTTTTTATGTTTTCATGTTTTCTTTCATTCTTTTCCTCACTGTGTTCCCCTTCCTTATGCAAGTGGGTTATCTCAAATCTAATTGCCCCAAAAATATATGCATTTATGACATATTTAATGGCTCTTTGACTGGAAATTAATTAAATGAAGGGTGGTCTCTGATTTTTGCACAATATTGTGTTTATTGTACTCTGGAAGAGCAGAATGTTTAGGTTATGCTAGCTACAGTACTAAAATATCTACATTTTATTTTATTTACTGCATTTAGAGTTAAATGTTCTATTTGTTTTTTAGTGCTATTCCAGCTATAGTCCCAATATCTGCATTTCATTATGTTTATGTATCAGCATAGGCAGATATGTACATGAAAATGATCAAATATTGCATCGGTCCACAGTTCCCATCTCAGCGCGTCCCTAGTAATCACGACAAATGTCACAATAAACTTCTCTGTTCTCATATCAATATTTCTTGAATACTGAACACCTGTATGTTTTATTAATAAGAAAGTACACAGCGTTCCCAAGCTGAACAACTGGCTAAGATTCAAATCTGTTCTGAGAGAACATAATTGGTCCTGTGTAATTATATGTAGTAACATGTAGTATGTAAAATGTTGCACACTTAGTTTTTGATTATTTTTAAATGTGGCTGTCTTGAATGCTCCAGTTGGGTAGGAACTGTATATTGTAAAATGTCTTCAGGTATAGCTACGCGACATTTTGTCATATTGCACATTTCTAGTTTCTCCCCTAAGCATAAAACCAAACAAGCCAATTTGAACTACAGAATGCAAATACAAAGCCTTGTCTATTCACACACCAGCAGCTCTCTCATCAGCACCATGTGGTACACACTAGGTTTCTCCTCAAAATGTCACCACTTACGATGTGGAAGACTGCAGAACGCACTCCTACCTGAAAAGTGCCTGCATAATCCTCCTCTTTTTCCCCGTTCCTCCCCTCCTTTAGAGCAATGAGAGTGAAGCCTCTGAAGTATGCAGGGTTGGTTGCATATAATGTCACTACAAGGAAAGAACAAAGCATTCAGTAAGGAAAAATAAGACGTACATCTGTATGATTGATATAACAGAGCTTCTTAGAAGCTTCTCGTAGTGCTGTAGCAAAAGAGTTTGCAACTGTAACAAAACAGAAGCTCCAAACAAGGATACAGGACAGAGACCATTTCAGTTAATGTAAATGCACTCAAGAAAGCAAATCTGGATGGCAGTACAATGAATTAATCAGTTACAAAGAACCTGCTCAAGCCATTGTTCTTATTGTGGTCATCTGTATTTATTATAATTACATAAATCTAGGTTAGAGTGCTGACAATTGGAAGGATCACAGAAGTAAACATGGGTGACTTTATCAGAATGACTAAAACATACATTAGTTTCCAGTAAATCTTAGTCAGATTGTAGGGAGGCACATAATGAAGTAGATAAGTGCTTTGCAACTTTATACTACATTAAATGTACGATAACCGATACACTTGCAAGTTAGATACCTACATGCATGTTCCTGCCAGCTCTGCCTTTATTTCCTCTGAGAACAGTAACATAATTAAGACTGTACTCATTAAACTGTCACTAGCTAGTGTGAATAAACTCTAACTACAAGTTAACCTTACTTTGGCTGAGATGGTGTGTGTTGTATAGTTAGCTTCTATTGCTGTACACTATTAGAAATAAAAGTGCTGTACAGGTTCATTTTTTGTTCATCAGGGTACAAACACTGTAAATGTTCCCTCAAAGGTACAACAAGAGCTGTAAGGTCCAACTGCGCACCTTAAATAGGTTTTTCCCAGGGGAAACATAGAGATTTGTACCTTTTCATATCCTAATGTTTTAAAGCAGAACAATAAAATAAAAAGCCTGGAGTGAAGACAGAATATGTGGAGTCAATACAACTGTAATGGGAAATTGTACAGTTATGTTCCTTGACTAAAGGAACTGATGATGTACCCTTGAGGGTCCCGCCATAGTGACAGTTCACTATCTTTTTTTTCTGAGAGCACACTGTTAGAAATAAAGGTACTGTACAGGTACCAATGGGTAAATGTATTCTCAAAGGTACAACAGTGGTTTTAAGATCTAATTGTGTACCATACATAAGTTTTCATAACCTAATGTTTTAAAACAGAACGATAAAATAAAAAGCCTGGAGACAAGACGGGGTGTGTGGAGTCAATACAACTTAGAAAATATAATTTCAATGGATTATGGTATGATTATGTTCCCTGGCTAAAGGTACTGAGATGAACCCTTGAGACCCCCAGTGACAAGGGGGGTAATGCCCCAGTAACAGTTTAGTACCTTTTTTTTCCTAAAAGTGTGTACAGGAGCAAAGTGTTGAGACAGTGAATCACTGTACTGTAGGATGAGTCTTTGTGAGATTTGCAATGATGACAAAAACAGCTTCATTTTAGTCAAATAATCTACTAGACTTGAATAAAAGCTCTCAAACTGCTTGTTAAGGCATGAAGTGCATGTCAGGTTGAACTGAAAAAATATGATTAGAGCCAGTGAGCGCGAGAGGGGTCCCGAGTAGAGACCCGGTGTCCGTACCTCTGTAAGTGCTGCCGGGCTGGTAGTTGTCCGGATCTCCCTCCACGCGCAGCCTGAACTCGCTGTGTCCCTCTTTCCGCGCGCCCTGCGGCTGCGCCCGTAAGATCCAGCTGCAGAAAGCGTCCGGTTTGGCCGCCCGGTCCGCGGGCTCCTCCGTGAAGGCGAATGAGTCGCGCGGGCAACCGGCCACGAGGAGCCACTGCAACAGCAACACGCGCGATCGCAAGCACATCATCACCGCCACCACCGCGGCCGCCGCCGCTGACGACGACATCACGCGCGCGCGTCTCTGCCCCGCGATCTCCGGAAAACGCGACGGAGGCAGGTGCGAACGCGCGCACTCGGTCAGTCCACGTGAAAGGAAAGAAGGAAGAAAAAAAGAGAAGAAAAAAAAGTTGAGCGCAGTCAAAACTCTGCGGAGCAGGACGAGGCGAGCTGTCGCGCGCGAGTTAACGCGACTTAACGACGGCGCGATCTCCGCCTCCGCTAAGGAGGTGCCGCCATCGTGGAGGGAATCCAAATCGCCTCCGGTCGTAGAGAGACGCGCGCTGATTCGCTCGTGAGCAGCAGTTGTGGTGGCGGCGGTCTTAGTGGATGGGAAGAGGAGCGGGGTGCAGGAGGGGGGGGGCGGTGTAAGGGGACGGGACTCCCGCGCACACTGAGCGCCGGGCGTGATTCACGCGAAAGGAGAGGCAGCGGCGGAGCGCGCGGGAGCGAAACACAGAGACGCAGCCTGAGAGCCGCGCATCACGCCAGCGCGCTCGGACGCGAAGCTCGCACGTTTCGGTTGCGGTCGCATTTTAAGAGTCCTTGTAGAAAATAATAATTAATAATACAGTCCGCCCACGCCAGCTGGCTGCACGCGGGGATCTCATCAGCCCACGAGAGGAAAGAGATGCTGGTTAATAACAAGAGCACAAACGTCTCTCTAAATGCTGCGTGTGGCCTCTTTCTGGGTTTCGCACGCACGAGTCTCATTGGCGTGCGCGCACACGCGAGCAACCTGTCAAATGAACAGGGGGGTGACGGGGGGGGGGCCAAAGGTGAGTAGGCCAGCTTGAAACTATACTCAACTCCCCAACGCCCCAACCCCCCCAAAAAAGGGAGATGGGTGTTGCAATTAAAACCAAAAGGTATGTAGGATAGAGTAAAACTATAAACAAAAAAGTTTTACCCAAGTAGACCCAAGTAGAAAAAAAGGTGGTCGCAAAAAACAAGTGGATTTAGTATAGAACTGTTACACTATGTGGAGGTTCTTTCAACTGTAATGAGGTTCTTCACACTCAAGTAGGCCACTTGGTGGAAAACAAATACACAAACAACCACAGTTGTTTTGAATCAAAGATTAAGTAGTTAGCAGTTGAGTCTACCAAATATCTTTAATATCAGACCGGCATGTTGAGGACCTGTTTCAACAATATGGCTTTTCGTCATGGTTATAGAAAAAAAAAATTTAATTGGTATCAAATCTTCGCATTATGTGAAGAGTTTCTTCACATTCACCAATAATGCATTGCAGTACTGGTTCTGTAATGAACCATCCACTGAAAGGTACCCAAACAAGGTTCATCTGTGGGCACCTTTACAGTGAATATGGCTGTTTTTTCACCCTGACTCCTACAGCATAGCCACACCTCACAGCGCTATTATTAGTATTATTATTATTAGCGCTATTATACATAAAGGAGCTCCAGCTAGTTTCTTCCTAGCTCCTTGACTCAGAAGTTAACGTTACCCCCACAGTGACCTTAACACCTGTCCACACATTGTGATGGCTGCTTTTTCTTCACCTTAGCGCAGAAGTTAATCACTATCCTTCTGGCTTTATTTGTAGCAGCAACACCTAAATTCATGGGGCTGAGCTACAAATGGTTTTCCTCAGCAGCTTCACCATTTAAAAAGTTAATTGCTAAGGTATTTTCCAGGGGTGTGCAGGCCACATTATGCCCAATCTCCTGTTTAGATGACTAAAAAGTGTGTGCCTTCACAAAGGAATTAGGCCAAGATGAACTCCGCTTGCGCATGTCATGGTTGGTGTCATGTTATTCACCTGGAGAAGTTGAAATACTGTCATGTCAACAAATCATAACTACCAGTTGTTTGTGTTTGATTGGTAATCAGAAACTGGAGCAGGGATGGACCAACGATATTGCTCATGGTTGTTAATAGGGATGACACTGCCTATTCAATACAGGTAGACTTTATCTCATAATCACTAATAAAATTGAAGCCAATGATATATTTACTATTAACTTGGGAGACCACATTGTTTGCCAGCTTGTCCTGTTGAATTCAAGCTGCATCAGAGTACATACCAGCTAATGATGTCACACCATGAGCAAACTCATAAAACTGAATTTTGAGTTTACCTTCAGTATTAATGAGTTTGTGAGCCATTAAAGAGCACCTTTCTTGTGGTAAACTCTTTCTTGTGGAAGTTCATGAGTTTACAGGCTTAGGAAGACGGCCCAAACACACCATGCTTTTTCCTGTCAAATCCATCCAGCCCTTGAGACTATGCGCTTATGCACGCTGGCCTGTCCAGCTACATTCTCAGAAAATGGTAGTAAATGGTCACTGGGGTGGAACCCTGGAGGGTACGTCTTCAGTAGGCTTAGTTAGGGATCATAATTGTACCATAATCCATTGGAGTTATATATTTTTTTAGGTTTTATTGACTCCATATGCCCTGTCTTGTCTCCAGGCTTTATCTTTTATTGTTCTGTTTCAGAACATTAGGTTATGAATAGGTACAAATATGTACCTTTTGCTTGGGAAAAGCCTATTTAAGGTATACAATTAGACCTTAAAACCATTGTTTGTACCTTTTTACCTATGTCTTCACTCTGCTTTCTTTCTGGGAATCTTGAAATGATACAAAGGACCACAGTGTTTTAATAGCTACCAGTCCATGGTTTCCACTGCTGCTGTATCTGAGGGGCTCTTACTCAGGTGTGAGTTGGCATCTGTACCCAGATCACCTTCAGTTATGACAGCTTTGACTGATGGACTGTGAGCCAGTAGTCTGGAACACTATCCTACATGTGAGAGCCTCATTGGCACACACTAAGTATGTTTGTCAGTGGAAAATGTTTCAGACTAGTGTGCAGATAATCAGTACAACCTCAGGCAGTATTCAGAACTGTGCTGCAGTTCCAACAGAGCCCGCCGGACAAAGGTCCCTGTACATTTACATTTAAAGTTTACATGGCTGCTATATCTGCTTATCATGATGGTATGGGTTGTTTATCCTTCGCTGCACACAAGGGATTCAGTGCCTTCCTTAAGGGCATGTGCTGCCTTCACTCCCCGCATTCACTGAAAGCTCACTGAGGGATTTACCCTTGATATTAAACTAGCTTATTTCATGGAAAAGCAAAACATTCAGCATTCCCTGTTAGGACATTTATTTATGTTGGCAGTTTGTGGGCTTGACTTTTTTTTTAATTATTATTATTATTATTATTATTATTATTATTATTATTATTAAACAGGTAAATAAAGTGATCAAAATAAAACAGTAGTAACTTTTTAAAAATGCATTTTAAATTTAAAACCTACTCAAAACATAAATATGACTCATACTTTATTAAATACCAAACGTAAAAATTGCAAAATTGTTTTGTTATTAATAATTCCTATGCATAACTCCACTGAACATCTCATTATAGAAGATTTGGTTTTATGTTATGTGAATGCCAATAATTTCACTCTATGTTTTATATGCACAACAAGACACTGACTAATGAGTTCATTTCTCAAAAAAACTAAATTTCATGAAGTTTCTAGAGCAGATTCATTTGTCTCATTAAATGTGAAAATTGATAAAAAATTAATTAGTTTTTCATGAAGGGTTTATCTCAAATATTCTAAGGTTTACCAGGTTTTCCCTGAAAATGCATTCAATAAAAAATAAAGTTGTGTCAAAAGTGATAATTGTTTTAAATTTTTAAAAAATGCATTAAAGTATTTAAAAACACATTTTTGATTTGCATCTTTGATATCTACAAACCCAATTTCCAAAAAGTTGTGATAGTATGCTAATAAAAACAGAAAGCTCTGATTAGTAAATTCTGTTTAACCAGTATTAAATTGAAAATGTTCAATGTTTCATATTTTGTCTCATGAACCTCATTGTTTTTTGTAAATATACACTCATTCTAAATCAGACGCGTTCCAAAAAATTAAGGACAGAACAGAAGCATTTCTAGATGCTTCTTTGATTTCCAAGCATGACTGTTTAGGATTAAATGTCTTAAATTGCCACATCCCAATTTTTTGGGTAACACTTCATTTGGATAGTCCACTTTAGATGCTTTCTAGATACTTAATTTACTTTCAAGTTACATTCAACTGAATATCTACTAAACTGACCATAATTTTCTTTAACTCTAACCCTGGTCCAAATCCTAACCCTAACCCCACCACAGATAGTTTGTTAACAATTTGCACATCTGTACATTATCCATAGGGGACTATAGTGGACTTTCCAAATAAAGTGAGACCCTTCTTTGGAACGTTTTACATGTATTCATATTAAAATGAACATATATTTACAAAGAAACAATGAAGTAAGATTAAACGTCATATATCTTGTCTTTACAGTTTTTGTTCAAATACAGGTCAAAGTAGATTTATAAATCACACTTTTCTATTTTCATTAGCATTTTTCTCCACTGTCCCAACTACTTGGGAATTTGAACAAAATTTAAAATGATCAGTGAGCTAAATTAAGAATCACCTTACCTTGCAAAGTTTTTACTGCAAAAAAATAACATTCTGCACTATAACGATGGGCTTACAGTCTTACATTCTCTGATTAAAGGCATTTTTTGTTTTGTTTTGTGGAACGTCTGCTCTGAAATTAAGATAACTCATTCATAATTCACACAATAACCTCAGGACATGAGTTATATTTATGCTTGCGGTTGTACAAGCCCATTTTGAATCAGAAACTGAATGCTGTTCTGTGCCCCGTGAAAACCTATAAGAGGTAACTCACCAAAATCATAAAACGCTGTGAACTGGAAAAATGTGTTATTTTGAGGAAAAGCAGAGTATTCCACAGCACTTCAGTAAGCCAACTTACTGTTAATAAGGTTGAAATCAGGTTCTCATTAGTGTGCCTGGGCTTTTCATTACTAGTACAAGCCTTCAGATTAATAAGAAACACAGGCAACTCTAATGAGGCTCACTTAGCTATGTTAGCTATGAACAGTGAATGGTAGTATGGTACAAAC